CCTACGGAAAGCGGGACTTCGCTGTTAACGTCAGCAGTGACGGCACCTGGCAGCGTCGTTGTTCAGGGAGATGTCTGCTTTCTGAAGAGTCTCTAATCTTCTTCATGGTTTTATGGTCAAGTGTTTCTCCCTCTGCTGATGGATCCTGGAAGCTGGCTCAAGAACACCTGGAAGTCCAGTGGGTGTGACGTCATCTGGCAAATGGAAGGCAACAGCTTCTTTGTACCAGGCTGGGTCCAGCTTGATCGAGGCCAGCTTTGCGGCCAGTACAATACCAGACCCAAGCATATTCACCTACAATAATCCTGTCTTACCGTTCATGTTGTTCAAACAGTGGAGTAAACATGGTACCAGCGGTTTAAAACCGTTCTTCACGAGCACCGCTACAGTGCTGACCTTTAGCACAGATGTTACACAACAAATGTAACAGCCCAGCTAAGAACATACAAAAATGCCATAATTGTAATGCATGATATATTTGTATCATACCTTCCGAAACAATGGACTGGTGTCAACACCACTGCAGCGCAATACATTGCTGGTGATGTGATGAAACAAAATATACTGCAACTCTCACCAGATGTACGCCGCGTTTGATCACGATTATCGTTTTGTCACAACATACCCTGATCGCCCGTTCCCTTTAAAGTGGTAAACATCAAAATGAATAGGGTTTCTTTTCTGCCGTGATAAACTAAAATAAGCAAAGCAAATGTAAACACATTTCGATTTGATTTAATGTGCGTAATATATATTAGAAAATATGCAACAAACCAAATCGTATTCAAGCTGATTTTAGTACGCGTTTATAAATGGTTTTATTTAGCAACAAAGACTTCTACATGCTACCAGTTGATTTTGTTCTCCAAAGATATTTTCTTCGGATTTGAGACTTTCATTATTTGTTCCTTAAGTACCCTTTTCGGTACGTTGAGGAACACATGATCTTCTCATATGTTCCTCACCGAGAGATCCGGGTTAGAATTGGTCTTCAGCAACCCTACGCTTGTCGGGGAATGGAGGCCACTTAACGGGTTCGGAGGTAAGCAATTCGCTTTGATTCGTTTGATACATGTCATCGTGATCCCGCAATTGGCGTAGATTCGATGCTACCGATGTTGATCACAGGATTGTCTGGTCCAGACTCGACTATGTGCAGACCGCCAGCGCGATAACAGCCGAATACTACTGAGTGTGGCGTTAAACAACAAAACAAATAAATAAATAACCGATTGAGACTTTTCGTAGAAAACAAGTTCCTATGTTTTCTGGCAACGACGGCGTAGCGTGGCATCAATGGAGCAAACAACACAGCCTTCAACAGCAACTCCCACCTTATTTCTGGCTTTCCTATGGATTTCTAATTCAAGAATCAACCATTCCATTGGGATACTTTCAGTTAGGCGAGGATTGATGTTTGTTTCAAGCATCTCCTCGGCTGGCAGTAAGCATTCATAAGATGAAGGATGATGTGGGATTCTGTGTTACGTTGGATAATTTACATTGAACCCGCTTAATATCACTGGCTCTGCCAGAAAAAACATATGGTTAATGACACCAGCAGCCAAATGGTTGCGCATAGCTAATTTTGGTATTTCTTTTCAAAACGAATTTTAATTCCAGTCGATTCTGTGGCATAATTCCATCCCACTTACTTGAAGATAAAATTGTCTTTGTATCTACATCACAAATATCATATGGACCATCTCCTGTAAAAATGATATTAACGCTTTATAAAGACAGATGGATTGATTACATTTTCTCAATCGGTTTCAATCCATTACGTAAACTTTCTTTCAAGGTGGGGGACCTTCTATCGTTCAAAATCGACGATGGCATCGATGGTGGACCCCTGACTTTATTTGATAAAGCAAGCACGTAAAAGACGACTGATTATCTCCTGCCAGTCAATTTATGTCGTCCTCAATATATTGTCAGAACCTAAGCACCGGAGGGGACAACGTCTACTGGGACGATTACGGAGTGGAGTCGGAAGATGCCCCTGTTGGTGCTTGAAAGCAGTTTTATTCTTTTGTGGTAACCATACATTTCATTAAGGTACAAATCATTCTTCTTTCAAATACCTGTAAATAAAGCAATATGCGACCATCTTAATCACCTTTTAGAATATCGTAATATGAGTATTATGTGTGGTTTCGGATTTTTTCAGAACACTAATGTATTTGTTTGTTGAAGCCATATCTTGGCTGGTTTTAATTTCTCTTCGTTTTGGCTTCTTGCAAGCTTCACGGCCAATTTTATTTCTCCTCTAACACTTCTCATTACAGAGACCATATAATAAAGTCAATATTGAAAATCAAAATCGACTTTGCCGATTTACACCTCCGCCTTCGTTCTCACAGAACAACGAGTACTACAATGACAGTATTCATCAAATACAAAGACAGGAGTATATGCTTTTAGCACCCTAATAAACCTCAGATGTACCGTTGTAAAAACAACTATATACATGAGAATAAATGAAAAAATTTGTGACCTTACCTTTGTATCAGAGTACGCGAAATCGATGGACTGAAGTGAGTACTATCAGTTTTCGCCAGTCTTCCTGAAAGGTTACAGTATGCCGTGAAGTTGATGGTTTTGCGCATCGGTCTCGACGGGTCAGTCCCTCTTTATATGAATCTCTTTTCAATATAATTGATACCATGTACTTTGGTATAAAAGGCTGTTATTATGGTTGCAGGCCATGTGTGAGTTAAAGCAACGGTTCGGGAATAATGGCAATGCCGGATAGATCAATATGTCAAGTCCGACTTTACCATCAACTACTGAGGGTACTGGACAGACAACGGCAGGAGCCATATTTCGAGATGACTTTGATTTTGATTTCACTTTCCAGTCATGGTTCTAAAACCAACGTGTCCTCTCATTAAAATAATGCAACATATCTTTGTATATACAAAGATCTGACCTGAGACTGGTTCGAGGGTATGACGAGTCGCTCCCAGCAAAGTATTGCAGGTGATGCCTGAGCGAAAAATGTAATTTTCAACAAACTAAATAGATGATAAACGGTACCGGCGGTTGGTGGGTCAACTGGATAAGGGACAGTTTCTACCACACACACACTTTGTTCACTTTGTGGTAATGTCCCGAAGCTAGTGTCTTTCTTCAGAGGTTGCCTTCAGAGCCCTCGGCCGTCACAGGAAAACCAATACACTTCTTTGTCCTTAATTTTATATCTGAACTCTTTGGCAAACAGATCATCAAGCATGTTATTTGTTCAGGGGCGTATTACTCTTACCTCCCCGAGAAGGGAAAGACTCACCAGGACACGGTGTTGGCCATCAACAGCTACATGGTACAGATAGGTGTTCCCGTCAAGTAAGTGCACTTGCTCATGCCTTCATGTATGTTATCAGACTGACTGGACTGAGTTTGGTTTTACAATCGCTTTTAGCAATATTCCAGCAACATCACGGCGGGGACACCAATAGAAATGGCTTCACATGTTGTACCCATGTGGGATTCGAACCCTGGGTCTTCGCGCGTGACGAGACAACGCTTTAACCATTAGGATTCACCCCAGCGCCCCATGTTATCAGAAGAGTTGAATGAAATTAATGTCTCACCCACGCTTGCTCGCAATGAGAGAAGCATTTGGTTGTCCATCAACTCATTTTGCAAGCACGATGTTTGCTCTTTATTCCCCGAATGCATTATGTTTTAAAAGTAGGTGACATTTTACATCGACACATAACATTTGAAACCCTCGTCACTTTCACACGAATAAATATTTAACACAGATATATTCCTATGTGTCAAACAATAGGAAACATATGTTTTACTTGCTTTTGTTACATTCTTTAGAGATGAGAAGGGACACAGCTGGACAATCGTCATATTGTTTACTTGTTCCACTGTTGACTCATTTCGGGAGGATCTTTATTGTGGTGGGTACTACTGTGACAAATGACCTTGTTGTTTGTTTGCTAGGTACATTCAGTTCGACGTGGTGGTACATCACGGACAATGACCATGGTGTTGTGACTTGGTCAAGCAAACCAACGGTCTTCCCAAATGGAATGGAGTGAGTATTTTCCCTTTCTCATCTTTTGAGAAAGGTTGCATTAATAATTCAAGTTATAGTAAGATTGTTTGCACTTTATGCTTTTCGCCATACTTGACCATTATATTATATGAACGTTCCTTTATCACCAACATATGTTGTCGTATAGGATTTATATGTAGGAATATATATATTTTATTCCGAGTTCGAAACCAATATATACTCTGTTCCCTATTTACCGTGGGTATGATTGGTTATTTAACAAGACAGGAGTTGCCCGTCTTTGGCTACAAACACGTTCTGGTAAGCCAGATCAAGTAATTTCTTTATGCAATGATATTCTATTTAAGAATTGTATTAAGAATTATAAGCCCGTTCTCAGCATATGAATAATGGCAATTACAGCTATTGCAGTCGATATAGCCAGTAAACTGATCAGGGGTGCACAGACGCTTTCAGGTCTACATTGAGAAAACCCTAAGCTTCACATATTGATACATAAGTGTGTTAGACTGTATTTCAGAAAAGTAAAATTTCTCACATCCACGTCATATGATTGAAATTAGATATAACGCGTTCCCATTAGAATAAACTTGCAAACATCATTCCCATCAGAAAGAAAATGTAAATTGTGTAGTTCCATTTTGTTTTGATGCATTGATAGAGACTGTTCCTATTGGTGAAGATACAAATAGATGTATACTAAAAAGCTCAGTGTCAATAAATACTGGATGGTTTGTCAATCTCCTTTCTAGGTCGAGCAACGTCACAACCTACGCAACTGCTAATGGAGGAAAATTGTAATTCCTGATCGATGCCAAAAGTCTTTACCACTGGAAGAGGTACTGACGCCTCTGAATATGCGCTCTGTTATCATTTTCTTTTCATTTAAGTATCATTTGTTTGTGGATTTTGTTTATTTGTTTCATGTACGATTGTTTTATTGACATGTATCCCACATACGTTTCAGAGGTTTTGGACTGACTTGCTCGTTGAGAGGGAAGGAAATGGGGTCTGTTTGCATATGAACGGTGGTATTGTTTCTAATTACAGAATGTTTAAAATAGATATCAAACCTTACAGCACATACCTATTTCTTTATCTTTTGAATTTTTCAAGCATTAATTTCTAGGATGGATTATTCAAACAGCCCTCCCGCCGGTTCTCAAAAATAATGTCATCAGCAGATTGCAATCAATCCAGGACAAAGCAGCCAGACTTATTTCACTTTATCCCCGCAAAATCAGACCACACATCACCTCCGATCCTCAAAGAACTTCCCTGTTGGCTTCCTGTTCAACAGCGAGTCAGTTCTTTAAACTTCTCTGCCCTAGCTCATCAGTGTCATTCTTGTAATTGATCCATCTTATCTCTGCGGACCTCCTCCAGCCCTATGTTCCATCCAGAGCTCTCCTCTCAAACAGCTATTCATTGTACCTAAAAAGTCAAATTGTTGTAGTTATGGAAGCTCCTCATCCAGCAGCCTGTGAGTGGGCAGTCTCCCTCAAGAACTACGTGCTTCTCCAACCTACTTCCTTCTTTCCGGACATCTCTTAAGACTCACCTGTTCCGTGAAGCATCGGTGCCTTCGAACACATCTTTTCTTTCTTAGCTTTGAGCAAAGATATTCATGCTGGAATGGAGCTATTATTATTATCATTATGAATTTGTTTCGTTTTCTAGGATTACCTCAGTGATGAATTTCGAGGAATTAACAAGCTTCTGACTGACATTGACCTTTGGCCACCAATGGCTGGACCTCAGATGGGGAATGGAGCTGCCAAGAACGGACCTGACCATCCAGTACCGTATGGCCTCACTCCACGATTTATGTTACAGTCTCTGGAAATACCAGTCGTACACTTACAGGTGAGGGAGTCGCGAGTTACCACCAGGTACTCAAATATTGCGCGAGTGATTGACTTTGGTGTGAATAAAAATCATCCCTTTCAAAAATCCACACCAAAACTCATCCAGTTGATTGGACAGAAGCTGACTGATATCGTAGAAGGCCTTGAATGATGTGATGTATGCATGATCGTGCAGCTCCTGAAATGTACCTGAAAGATATATGCGATTGTACCTCAAACGTTATGAAAACAACAAAGACTGGAGCTGCAGTAATATTGCTGGACCTAAAGTTGAAAGTTGAAATCCTCCCTCTTGTCATCCAGACTTGTGGAGATTGTTTTGTGACTATCAAATCTATATGCATAGATCTGAATATGATACAGTTTAGGCAGTCTTTTACTTTCAAGATGGAGTAAATCAATGGAAAGGAATCGGCTCATTAAAATGGTTATTTAAGATCAGACCAGACCAATACACCTAAATCTTCAGTTCACTCCTAAATTACTGTCTTGTGCTTTGCAAATCCGAGCATTGATGCTGATTCAAAAAAGATGCATCCAGTGAACAGATCATCTCAGGGGACAATGTGGGTGCCATCAGTTTGCTTATTTTTGTCTTACTGTTCTCTCCGCCAAAATCTGTATGTTTCATGTGCCCGTACGAGCCATGACAACCGACCCAGGTACCCAACTGGAAGATAGGTGTGACGTCACTATTTGCTTGGGCTATTGGCGTTGCAACCCTTCAAGATATAATTTTGGACAACCAGCGTTCAACCCGGAAATACTTACTTACGGTATGTGGTCATCTGATCAAACATTAATGTTCCTGGATCAACATTAATGCTTTACCTTACTGGATCAACATTACTACTTTTACCTTCTGGATCAACATTAATACTTTTACATTAATACTCTACCTTCTGATCAACGTTAATACTTTTACCTTCTGGATCAACATTAATGATCTTTCACCCTCACAGACTGTGTGGACTTCCATTTCTTCACAGAACAGTGTTTGTTCCGTTGAAAATGTAATAATGGGTAGAACATCATGATGCTGTAACTACATATCTGTACGACGAATTGTCATTGAATAATGTGTTGTAGATTCTACTGAACCCCACACCTCCCTTCACGCCGTGGTTGCAACGTTAATTACAGGCCCAGTAGGAATAAGTGACATGATTGGAGGCACGAACAAGACACTCTCATCATGAAGTAGGTTGGCTGTTAATCAGGCGATTTTAGTTTTACACACAGAAAATAGAATTAATATTTCTTCCAAATTTTTTTCCAAGTTGAGGTTAAATCTCCTACATAATCTTGCTGACTCCTCATTTCACATATATTATATGATTCTATACTTATATATTATTTATACTTCTTCACGCATAATCTAGCATTTCAACATTTATTCTTGACGTAGCTCCTACACCACCTCCTCATTTTATTAATCATATATTTAACATGGATATTCCCATATATATTGATTATTACTGCCCCGTGTACATTGTTGCCGCTTCTGTATTTACTGCTTATTATTTCTGTGATATATATATTTTTAAAAATCAGATATGTTCAATTCCTGTATTTGTTATTTGTTACTCCTATATGCATCATCTATTATTCTGTCTTCAATATTTATTTGTCCATTTCATATCTTTCTATAAACACTGCGAATATAAGTGTATCTCTATTTTTAATCCTGTATTAATTGGATTGTTCTTATTTTGTCCCATGTTTATTACTATTTACTACTTTTTATTTATCAGTTATTACGCCTGTTTTACTCATGCGTTATTCCTGGATGACGGTTTAATTTCTACACAGATATTTAGTTTTATGATTTTAACAATTAGCATGTATCAGTCCTGTTACCTGGTCCCTCACGCCCACATTTCATCACTGTCACATCTACTCTTCCACAGATCTGTAAAGTGCTGACGGATTGATCTTGAAACCATCACGACCGGCGACTGCAATTGACAACAGAATACGGCGGGTAAATGTGTCACATCACTACACTCTAACACTGATTTGATTTGCATTTGTACCTCTAGTATATTTAGCTCATTTGCTTTATCAAATGGTGTCATCAGTTTATCATTCAGAAGAACCAATGAGACACTTGGCAGAAGACTTGATTCAGGGTAAAATTAACGTCTGAAACAAGAGCGAATACGAATGCCATTATTAACTTGATAAAAATTATTTTCACAACCCATCTGCACCCCTATTCAACACCCCTCAAGTGACAAGGCGTACCCTTACACAGACTACACTATGTATTTCACACGTACCATGTTTATGGTGCATAAACCTACACTGGAAACCGACAGTAGACTGAAATGATTTCTTTACAACAAATTGTAAACAAGGTATGTCTAACGGAGTTTTGTGCTACCCCGCAGGTGAGGGTGCAATCATAAATGACATGACCTCACATATTTCTTTATGACATACATGTGCCAGAAATAATTTGATAAGGTTGAATATTCTGAAATGGCATGGAGTACCTTGATAGACCTTTAACATTTCCTATGACGTCCTAGTCCTTGTGTTTTCTAGATGGCTTGGTCAGGACTCTTTGAGGGTCCCAATGGGGAGGTGTGGTCAACGTATTCAGATTTTAGCGGAGATAACAAGTACGGTATCGTCCTCGCTGCTGATCTTAAGGGAAGCTACAACATGACACCTTGCATGGCTGGATATCAAGGGTAGGCCATTAGAGTATTGCTACTAGATTTCCAGGAAGTTAATGTTTAGATCTTGGTATTTATAAATATAGTCAGGCATTCAACTAATATGAACGACGTTGGTATTTACGGTTTCCTAAATCCATGGTTTTCCCAGCCAATAGTCCCAACAGGATCCAGCCCTTGACGGACGCCCAGCCTCTGACAATGCGTAACTGTACCATAACGGACTTCTGTCTCTTCTATATATCTCCAGTACTGGCATTTAATGGGTAATGTTCAACTTTTCAAACACGCAGATATGTGCCAAATGATCCAGAAAACTAAGGAAACGAATCATGCTATTATAAATATTTATATATTCTAGCAAAACATATACCAAAAAGGACATGTGTTCCGACATTATACAAGGTTATGTTATAGATGTGGAATAGAGACAATGCATCAGAGATATCTCAATGGTATTTAATTGTTCAATATGTTTCTAATGATTCCCGATCATCAACTTTATTCCTCAAAGATATGTGTGAAAGATGATTGATTAAAGAATATACTTTGGAGCCGATATCGTGAGAGGTATTGAAAGAATATATGTTTCTATGTATGAAGTGATTTCTCTCTATAATATGTAAATTGACTCAGGTGATAAGTGTTATAAAATAATACACAGGGTGTAATCAAATATATATTGGCATTTACCCATATTTTACGTTTCTACTCAAAGTAATGTAAAGTGAAATTGATCGAGACATATATATATATATATATATATATATATATACAAAGTAATGCAAGTGTAACATCGATTTATATATATATATATATGTATGTATGTATGTATGTATGTATGTATGTATGTATGTAATGTATGTATGTATGTAGTATGTATGTATGTATGTATGTATGTATGTATGTATGTATGTATGTATGTATGTGCTGTATGTAGTATGTATGTATGCATGTATGTATGTATGTATGTATGTATGTATGTATGTATGTATGTATGTATATATGTATGTATGTATGTATATGTATGTATGTATGTATGTATATATGTATGTATGTATGTATAGTATGTATGTGTATGTCATGTACGTATGTATGTATGTATGTATGTATGTATGTATGTATGTATGTATGTATGTACGTACGTATGTATGTATGTATGTAATGGCGTATGTATGTATGTATGTATGTATGTATGTATATGTATGTATGTATGTATGTATGTATGTATGTATGTATGTATGTATGTATGTATGTATGTATGTATGTATGTTTACGCACAAAATGTCCAAGAGATAGTACATGTGTTTCGTCATAAATATTACAAGGATAAATATAGACAAGATGCCTTTTTCAAAGATGTTCTTTTTTCTCCAACTGGTGTTGCGTTCTTTACCTTCAGGAAATCTCCTGAAGAGTAAAAGAGCTGAAACATGTTGGAGAAAAAGGCATTCTGTGTTTATGTATCTATGTAATATGTGTGTGTGTGTGTGTGTGTCTCTCTCTGTCTGTCTGTCTGTATTGTGTGTGTGTGTGAGAGAGAGAGAGAGAGAGAGAGATCGAGATCGAGAGAGAGAGAGAGAGAGAGAGAGAGAGAGAGATAGAGAGAGAGAGAGAACAATGCCTGAACACTATCTAAAACACTCAAATATTCTTTTTCCTTCAGCAAAAACAAGTTCTCATCCAGGGTGAGTTAGACAAGTGAGTGCCGATGTCACCCCCAGAGAGTGACAGGCATCAACATTGCCGATGACATCACCATCAGCCCTACACTGGAGCTGCCCACGAAACCGTCTCCTTCTGGTTCAACGTGGATGGTAAATCCCCTCACCTGTGACCCTGTACCCTCGGAGCAGGAGGACTGGCCACCCTAGTTTCACAGCAGGCTCATGTCATTGGAGTATAATGAACACGATCTATGCATGCATATTTGCAAATGTATATATGATATATACTCTTCCAAAATAGTAGGGGAATCTGAACTTTCAATTTGGACAGGATTTAAAAGTGTTAAAAAATGTTTAAAGGCATATCGTAAGAACGCACCAACATTTCTCTTTATAACAGCCTCTAAACTCAAAACTTTTCAAACTAAACTTTCAAAGCGATTTCTGTACAAACAACTATGGTCAAAAGGAAGTGCAAATGGTGATGCACTCTCCAACGCATTCATTATTATTATATC